TGTGTGTGTGTGTGTGTGTGTGTGTGTGTGTGTGTGTGTGTGTGTGTCTCCTACTCCTCAGGTCACTGGGAAGATGGACGAGAACCAGTTTGTGGCTGTCACCAGCACCAATGCAGCCAAAGTCTTCAACCTTTACCCTCGGAAAGGCCGCATTGCTGTGGGATCCGATGCTGACCTGGTCATCTGGGACCCCGACAGCGTTAAAACCATCTCTGCCAAGACGCACAACAGTGTAAGTCCTGTTAACTGCATGGACCCAATCCTGAATGAATTAGAGTCCTAGAAAGGGACTGAGGCAGGGACAGTCCCAGAAAGAGCTCGCTGTGATAGAAATGAACTTTTTCCCAGGATATATTGTAACTTGTAATTTGTTAAGAAAAAAAAAAGTTATCGTCTTATCTTTGGTCAGGACAGTAAGACTGTCACTCTTCTCAGCATTTTAGAGTTCTTTACAGGTAGAGTTCTCTGTAGACCTTCAGAGCCTCCAAAGTCATGCCAGGACATCAGAAGCTTCTAGAAGTCAGGCACCGTCCCATTTTAACGGTTGGGGGCAGTACCTTTCATGGCAGTGCCTGCCACAAGGGACCCGCAGCAAACATTCAGATGCCCACTGGGCACTTTTATTCTTTTAAGCCACTGCTTAGCGTTACAGCCACACCTACTTGTAACTTAGATCACAACCTCCTGGGGGTCCAGAATGGCCTCTGCGGGCAGAGCTCCTAGGGTCCTGCCCAGTGAACCTTACCTGTTCATCTGCATTAACAACACAGTCCCATTTACTCTTCATGGGGCCTTCTCAGTAAAGACATGGCACCATGATCCCAGTTACGTGGTGGGAAGATAGTACACGGCAGCTTCGAGAACTTAAGTGACCGGTCTGAAGCTACATAGCTATTTTGTGAATTAGAGCCCCAGATTGTCCAGGGTTCTTCCCTACCAGACTGCATATGCAGCCTCTTGGCCAGGCTTGGATGAGGGAATGCTTCCCCGACCTGACAGTCCTTTCTGCAGAGGGGGGTGGGCGAACTGGGCTCGTTATTTAAGCTGTGGATGACCTACCTAAGGATTTTGCATGTGGAGCCCTGACCGTGGCAGAAGAGAGGATGTGACGGAGAGATGATTCGAGAAGATGCATCACTGCCAAACCTTTCCGGAGCAATAGCACTACCCTACTTTTTACCTCCAGGCAACCCCGTGGAAGGAAAGTGCCTCTGTTCTGTCCTCACCTGATTCGGGGAGTCCACACTAAACACATTTGTGCAGCATTAATCATCCGGGAGAATACAAATGAGAGGCTTTCCCTGCGTAATACAGTGTTTCATGCCACTGGGCTAATTAGCTTTAATTTGGAGCATTTAGCTAACTATTAACTGAGCCCCATTGCTAAAGCTTCTGCTTGGGCTTTTCAGGCATCCAGCCAGATGAGTCATTTTAGGGAGCCAGGGTTGGATATAGGTTAAAATGTGTATACCTGGTGAGCAGCGAAGCCTCACTGCCTCGCGGATTGACAGAAGGTGTACCTCTGTGTACCTGAGCTGGGATCCGACCATTGGGCTTGTTAATTTTAAGTGACGTAGCGTGGGGCTACGTCATGGGGCTGGTTCTTCCCATCTTTTAAAAATGGGGGAATGGCTCAAAGCCCTTTTAGGCATTTGTGATGTGTCATCTACGTGCAATTATACTCAACATAGGCGTCTTATGATGGCTTTGTCATTAAAGAACTTGCAGTCTTACTGTGAGAGGACAATAAAAAAAAAAAACCAGACAGTGGATGAGTGAACATTTCCTAAATGCCTAGTCTGTGCCAAGTACTGTGCTGGATGCTTTTGTTCATTTTATTTCCTTCAATCTTGGCATCAGTCCTGCAGGGCGGGCTTTATCCCTGGAGCTGAGTCTCAGGAGTGTAAGGGACTTGTCCAAAGTCACACAGTTGGGGTGTGGCAGACCTGGGATATATGAACCCAGGGTTGTCGCCAGTCCTCCAGTAGGAGCTTGTTAGAGTGTAGACACAGCTGTGGAGTAAAAGATGGGGCTCGATGCCCTCAGGATGACGCACAGCCTGTCCAAAGGTCACTTCAGAGATGACAGGATTCTGACAGCGTGAGCTATACACATATGTTACTTTTGTGTCGTCATATCCATGTAAGCCGCAGGGGACAGGCAGATGGAGAACCTGTAGTTGTGAGACGGGATTCAAGTGATCTGCTCAGAGTTCCCCACACAACTCCTGGATTTCACTAGATCTGAGATGCCTTCGATTTGAAGCTGTTCCCTGAGTTTGTATACCACCGTGAAAGAAGAGACACTGCTTTGAGTCTGCTACAAGACTTCTTTACAGATAGACTGTGATACCTAGGGCTCACCTGTGCTTCACACAGGATAACTAAGAGGTGAATCTGCCCTGGAGAAAGGGGGGACAGAGACTCTTGTGAGTCTCAACACTGGCACTGGGTGCCGAGCAGGCAAAAATGGCTCCTGAGGAGAGGAGCTGCAAGCCGGTCCTCCCGCACATTGAATTCCTTCTGCCACAGTGGTGTAGAAAAATGCCACGCCGAACATTTAATGTAAAATGGCCTCAGTGTGTCATCCCCTGGGCCAGTGGGAAAAGCAAAGCCAGATCCCACTGGCAGAGCTCAGTTCTGGGGAGACTGTCAAAGGGTTGCATAGCTCCGTTGCTGTGAGAAACATACTGATTCCAGGGATGAGTGTCTTCAAATGGGCGAAAGACAGTCCCAGACTTGGGGACACACACTCTGGTCCCGGAGTGCGTATGTGGAGCCCTTCCCGCCCCCCCCCCCCAGTTCCGCTCTGCCTCATTCCTTGGGTAGCCTGCACAGGATTCTTTGGGGGTCTCAGAACAGTGCCAACAGCCTTTCCTTGCTGTTTTCAATTAACACCACGGCATCCTGACACTGAACGCGAGCTGTGAGGCCAGCCCGGGCCTTCCCCATCCTTCCGAGCCACTGCGCCAGGCAGACGTGTTCTCCTAAACCGCACTGTCCGGTTATAGCTCTCTCTGCAGACTGGTTCCTTAATGCTGATAAGCTGTCTCACTTTCCCCAGAAGGCCACGCTTTCTTTGTTTCTCTCTGGTGAGAGCTTCCTGTTGTGAACTCTCCAGCCACAGCTGTTCATGCCCGTGAACAGGGCAGGCAGGAAGAAGCGCGGGGCATTGTGGAACCCGGGGAAGGAGCACGGGGTGAGCCGAAGCTGGGGCTTGGGCCTATGGCACGTGGGCTAGTGCCTCCTCTTTTCTGTTGCCTTCTTCTGCAACAGCAGACTCACATGCACGTGAAGATCCCGCCTGTTTTCCGAGAAGATGCACGGATAGGTCACTCCGCAAAGCTTGACGCTAAAAGGATAGCCGTGTGGTTCTGGAAGTTAACGAGACACCAACATTTTATCGAAAGCATTGGCTCGAGTTCCCACAGGCTTTCCATTCAGGGACTGCCGTTGAACCACGTCGCTAACAGACTGGAAAATTAGGACCGCCAGTGGGAAAACCTGCTCGTGGATGGCCCATTTCGAAATTTAGAACTTGGTCAGAGAAGATCTTAGGATTTTAGCCCGATGGGTGCTTAAGTCAATGAGGACGAAGTCCCTGCTAATACAGGGAATCACTTCCTTTATGTTTGTGTAGCATTTACAAACCCTCATGCTTTTTTTCCACACAGTTTTTCTGCTCAAGTATTTTTCCCCCAGGTTTTTGAGAGGCAGGAAAAGATGATTCCGTATTCCAGATAGGGAAATCGAGACAGAGAGATTAAGTGCCTGCTGGGGTGGCCAGTCAGGACAGGGACTTCATCTCTGGGCCTTTCTTTTGTCTGCGAGATCTTGGGCAGGGTGTATGCTAAAGTTAATGCGCTCTCTCTTACTAGTCTCTCGAGTACAACATCTTCGAGGGCATGGAGTGCCGTGGCTCTCCACTGGTGGTCATCAGCCAGGGGAAGATCGTCCTGGAGGATGGCACCCTTCATGTCACTGAAGGCTCTGGGCGCTACATCCCCCGGAAGCCCTTCCCTGATTTTGTTTACAAGCGTATCAAGGCGAGGAGCAGAGTGAGTAGCTTTGATCTTGCAAACTGTTTTTATTACGGGCTAAGTTCAATTCCATACATGCTGACTGAGCACTTTGAGTTAGAATGTTGAGATGGGTGTGGAGGAGGGGGTGGCTCAGGAATAAGGGACACATGATCTTTTTTATTTCTGGAGTTCAGAATACCAGTGGATGAGTCAGGTGTATGTCCGTAGCCAGCCAGAATGAAGTAAGACTGTGGTATGTGCTGGGATGAGAAGTGTGCAGTGAGGTTCAGAGGAGGCAGCCACAGCTGTGGAGTCTTAGGGGAAAGTGTCATGGGGAGAGGGCATTTTGAGTTGGGTTTTGAGGGTTAGGTAGGAGTTTGAGAAGTCAGAGAAGGGAGCCAAGGGAATTAGAATGAGCATGGAAGATGTAGAGTGTATTCAGGGCATGATAAGGCACTGGTGCTTGGGGACTATGAGGCAGGGAATGGATGGAGCTGTGAGGGAATTACAGAGTGAGATTGAAAGGAAAGTTGGCGGCCAGATCTTGAATGTGAGACCAAATCTCATCATGATGTGTTTGTGGAGTTTTGGCCTTGGGTGTAAGTTAAAGTGCCTTGGCGGGGGGGGGGGGGGGGGGGGGGGGGGGGGGGGGGGGGGGGGGGGGGAGGGACAGTGGTAAGAGATGTTAGTTTTTGTAGCATAACCAGCTACCCTTGGTCTCCCTTGTGGGAACTGTGGCCTGGAACAGTGGGGGCTGGCTCCTCACTGACATCTGTCCCTGCCCTATGTGTCCATAAGGGAAGCCCTCTATCCCTACCTCTCATACACCCTTCCTGACCGCCGTTCCCACCCCTTTGGAGAGTCGCCGGGGAGACTCGCCCTCTGAAGATGGCCTGAGTCAGGGGGCTCTTGTGTTTTGTAGCTGGCAGAACTGAGAGGGGTTCCTCGTGGCCTTTACGACGGACCTGTGTGCGAGGTGTCTGTGACACCCAAGACAGTCACTCCGGCCTCCTCGGCTAAGACGTCTCCTGCCAAGCAGCAGGCCCCACCTGTCCGGAACCTGCACCAGTCTGGATTCAGCTTGTCCGGTACGGTTGTGGTTTGCTTAGGGCCCGGTCCTGCAGGGCCGTGCTCACAGCGCAGGCCCCGTTCAGTCTGACTGATGAGGGTACGGGCGGGATGTAGTCTCAGTCAGTCACAAGCTGAAACAGTGTTACTTTATATACAGTTCTACTCTTCCAGGAAAGGGACTCCACCAGCTTTTGCAAGGAGTGCTTTCCAGGGTCGCTGATTGCTTTGGCCATTTTAGGTCGGCCCCCTTTTTTGTACTTTAAACTTGCAGTGAGGTTTTGAGACAGGGACGGAGGATGGGCCTGGCCCTTTTTCTCCTGGGCTGTGCTGTTTTGGTTGAGAGCGGGACCTCGCAACACCTCGTGGGAACTCGCCGGACTGTGTTTGACCCCCACCCCTGTCTCCTCTCCAGGTGCCCAGATTGACGACAACATTCCCCGCCGCACCACCCAGCGCATCGTGGCTCCCCCTGGTGGCCGTGCCAACATCACCAGCCTGGGCTAGAGGCCCGGGTCGCAGCCTGCTTGGGGACGGGGGAATGGGACACCTGAGGACATTCTGAGACTTCCTTCCTAACTTTTTTTTTTTTTTAAGAGCCTGTGATAGTTACTGTGGGGCAGCCAGTTCATGGGGCTCCCTCTTGGGCCCTGCACTCCGTCCCTCACCCGGAGTCACTGATTTTGCTCACCCACTTCCCTATACATCTAAGGAACATCACACCCAAGTCTCTCCACCAACCCCATACACGGAACTGCATCCAACACTCAGACATGCGAAACAAAGCAAATCACAACGAGGGCATTTTTCATCTCTAACTTCTGTTGTACTTGTTACCATCTTCCTTTTCATGGGGGGAGGGGGGGCGGGTGGGGGGAAGATAAAGTGAATTGCCCAGAGCTGCCTTTTTCTTTTTAAATTTTTAAAAGTTTTCTTCGTGGGTCTGGGGAGAGGGTGGGCAGGGGAGGGGGGAGAGTAGTGTTTTGTTTTGTTTTGTTCTGTTTTAACATACTAAATTGGGAAGCCTAATTCAACATTAATACAAGGGGTTTGAACTGGACATCCTAATGATGCAATTATGTAACCATCAAGCTGCTTCAGGGTGGTTGGCAAACTCATGTCCCCCCTGAGAGGCTCCAAAATGTCCACATTGCGTTCCTTCGTCTTCTGGGTCAACTGTTGATAAAGGGCAGGTTTTCTTTTTGGCCTAGATTTTGCTGCAGATTACATTTTTCGAGGATTCTCTTCTCCTTTCTTAACATCCTTTCTGCGCTCTCTCTCTCTCTCTCTCTCTCTCTCTAGCTTTCTCATTCATGACTATTTTCATGTCTGTCCCTTTCTTCGTGTTTCCTTCAGCCCTTGTCTCTGAGACCCCTGTTTTTCTCTCTGTCCCCCCGTGTCTTCTCAGATGACCAGGTCTCCTGTCCTAGTGTGGTCTTAAGAACCTGCCTGGAAGGCTGTGAGCTTTGTCATTGCAAACACAGTACTGTGCTGTCCTAGTCTATATACGACTGGTGCTACCCACCCGCCACCACCAGGATAGGTGTTTGAGTTCGGGATGCTTCCAGGGGCAGCGAAGGGCTGAGCCACCCACACTGTCACCTGTGGGCTCAGAGTAGAACCTCAAACAGTACTGAGATGTTGCAGAAACCTGAGGCTATAGGACCTAAGTTTTTTCCTCCATGCAGTGCTAACTAGCTAAAGAAAGACGCGATCAAATCTGTAAATTGAGCCCCATGACCCAAGTGAACCAGTCAGCCTCAAGCCAGTCACCAGCTCAGTGTTGAGCTGGGAGGAGTCTGACCCTGGGGCCTGCTGTTTCCCAGCTAAGTATCTTTTGGGGTTCCAGAGCATGCTGGGGCTTCTCGCTTCGGGGCAAAAAATATTTTTTCTTGTTCACTTATTTTGGAAGATACCATGCCATACCTTGACTTGGAAGATACCATGCCATACCTTGACACGGGGGATACATTCTAAGACCCCCACTGGATACCTGAAATCGCGGATAGTACTAAACTTGATATATATTGTTTTCTTCCCATACATACTTGTGATACACTTTAATTTATAAATTAGGCACAGTAGGAGGTTAACAACAACAATAATAAAATAGAGTAATTATAACAGTATACTATAATAAAAGTTATGTGAATGTGGTCTCTCTCAAAATACCTTCTTCTACCGTGTTCACCCTTCTCGTGATGACGTCAGCTGATAAGATGGCTATGTGATGGGATGGAGTGACGTGAATGACAGGCACTGTGACGTAGCGGCGGGCTCCTGCTGACCTTCTGACAGTACGTCAGAGGGAGGAGCACCAGCTTCTGGACTTCGGTTGACCGCAAAGAACTGAAACCTCGAAAAGCAAGACCACAGATGAGGGGGGACTACCATATAGGGAGACCTTCTAAACCCAGAAAATCTTTGGGAAATTCGATTTAGAGTCTGTTTTACTTTGTAAGGGGAAAAAATCTGTTGAAGGAGCGATACGTCCCGTCAAGAGCTGTTGTGGGGAGAAGATCTTACAAATCCAGCATGTGGCCCCCGTAGAGACCGCAGGTGACCTTATGTCCATGCCCCCGCCCTCGTCCCTTCCCGCTAGCTGCCTTCCTGCCGGGCCCTGTCTTGGCTGATTCGTGTTGCATTTCCTTCCAAACGCGTTTACAGGTTCTCTTAAGCAATGTTAACGTTTGCAGGCTTTTATCGAACCAAATCTGCTTTTGTAAAGCATAACATGGAAAAGTAGGTCACATCATTACACTCATCTCTCCACACATTTTGCCTTTGGGGTTATGGTTGGGGTTTATTTTTTGTTGTTGTTGTTTATTTGTTATTTTAAAAGTAAATTGCACTTTTAAAGAATAATTGGTTAACTTAATATATTTGCTTTTTTTTTTTTCTCACCTGCACTTAGAGGAAATTTGAACAAGTTGGAAAAAAAATTTTTTTTTTGTTTCAATTCTAAGAAACACTTGCAGCTCTTTTAGTATTCACTGAGTCTTCCTGTTTTTCCTGTACCAGGTCATGGTGATTTTGGTTATTTTGATTGTTTTCTTAAAACGATTTAAAACCTGAAGATTTCTGCAGGCTGTGTAAGCATGTTTACCTGTTGGCTTGCTTTGTGTGTCTGTTAAATGAATGTCATATGTAAATGCTAAAATAAATGGACAGTGTCTCCGAACTGAGTAACTACAGTGACTTGATGCTCTAAAACAGTGTAGGACTTAATAATAGATGGTTTCTAATCCTTGGAATTGTGATTGTGACTCATGAGTGGAGGAACTTTCAGTGCTAAAGCTGATAATGTGTGTAGCCAGGAGAGTACCTTTTTTTTTTTTTTTTTTTTTTTTTGTAACCACTGTCCTAATGGCAAAATAATTATGGTAAAAAAAAAAGTCTCGTGTTTATTATTCCTTAAGAACTCTGTGTTATATTACCATGGAACGCCTAATAAAGCAAAATGTGGTTGTTTCAGGGGTGTGTCTGTGTTGAGATGTTCAAGGAGGCAGTTGCTTGGCCCGGCCCGCCTGCAACCTTCCTTCCTGAAGCATTCGCGGGTGTCTTTGGCCTGGGTTTGGTGACGGCACCCATTCAAGAGTTTTCACTGCATGTTGTAAACTTGTAGGCAGCTCTGAGCTTATGTCCAGGCCACTGAGGTCTAATGCCGAACAGAACTCTGTATGGTAGAGCTGAGCGTGAGACATTCATAGACTCTACCCTAGAGAGAGTGTGAGATCTTCCTTCTAGAATCAAGCTGCAAGCACAAGTTTGGAAGTGGGAATCTGGGGGTGGAGTGGGGGTACCATACAGGTTGGTGTGGTGACCTCTGTGCTCTCTGCGTCCATATAGCTGATTCACCCTGGAAAAATCTTCAAGCCACAAGGGGGCATACAAGATAAGAGACTGGGGTTGATTTGCATCCAAGGCCCAGTCAAATAAGCTTGCAGGAAAGCAGGACATAGAGTACATGTTCCTCCACCCCCAGAGCAAGTGCCAGGAATGCACGTTGGGGGGGTGGGGTGAGCCACACCAACCCCGGCAGGCTGGCTGCTAGGTTCCCACGGTTACCTTGTTAACTGACACTGGTATATTGGGTCTGAAGACACTGAATGAAGAAAATGTGTGCTTGGGGCTCCCCAGGTCCAACCTACAATTGATGAAGTCTTTCTTCCTTCCTTTCTTCCTTTCTCTTTGTTTTCTATCCAGCCCTGCCCAAACAGGATATGGTTTGGTTTACAAAAATATATACACCATACCAAGCTTTATAAACTAGAGTGTTTGAAGGGAAAATAAGGCCTGAGTGGGGTTCGTACCACTCACCTGCCATGGGATTGTACACTTGGGAGGGAGCTCTGAGTGTTCTAACAGCAAATACAAAAAAGGGAGATGTGGCCGGAAGACCACAAAACATTTCTAGTGACCAGAAGATATGTTAGTCCTTCAGAAGAAAAACAGGTTTCCTGCCCTCAGCTCTACTGGCAAGTCCTGGCGACCCCTGTAACCAGTGTTGTGTGTCTAGGGTTGGCTACTGCCCTCACTGTATGAGATGACAGATCACTGTGAGCTAGGAAAATCAAATCTGTCCCGGAGACGAGGCAAAAAGGCTCACCCTAAGCTTTATAGAGGACCTGTGACAAGAAGGGAAACCCCAGGCCCACAGCCCATGCTCCTCTCCCACCTGGCTTCATCCTACATCACGAAAGCCCTCCTGCTCATGCCTGTGGACAGCTCAGCCCCGTGTCCCAGGAGTTCTTCCCAACCCCTAGCAAACAGCCGCCCCAAGGCTGTCTTCCCCGGCTGTGAGGTCTGCCCTCTGGGAGAGGCCCAAGTAGGTGCTGGGAGAAGGCGTGGGTCCATCTGAGCGGGGAATTGCAGGGAAGCCAGAGAGCAGGTGCCCTAAAGAGAAGGTCCTATGGGCGCCACCTGGCTAGATGATGGAGCCAGGTAGAGAACTCTTCGGCGGTGTGATTTAATACAAAGATTTTATTTTATTATTGTTTTAAAGATTTATTTATTTATTTTGGAGAGAGAGCACAAGGGGGGGAGGGGCCGAGAGAAAGAGGGAGAGAGAGAGAGAAGCACACTCCGCACTGAGCGGGGAGCCTGACGCAGGGCCCAATCTTCCCACCCTGAGATCCTGACCTGAGCCGAAATCAAGAGTCGGAGGCTTAACCGACTGAGCCACCCAGGCGCCCCTCCAAAGACAGATTTTAAAGCATCTAGGGAAGGCAAGCGGAATGCAGCCCCTTCGGGAAGGGTTTCTGTCTTGTGTAGCTGTGAATTGAAAGTAATATTGTCTGGCAAGTTTCTATAGCACACATATTCTGTAAGAAAAGGCAGATTTGTTCTTTTCTCATTGATTGAGGTGGGGATAAGTTTGGATGGTGCCACTGATGAGGTCCGCATCTTTCGGAAAGCTTCTATTGGCCTCATTTGCCCTTCCTGCGAGATAGAGGTGATGTTATCTACTCAACCTACCTCTCAGTTTTAGGACCAAATCGGAAAGGACAAGCCATAAGTCAGATGTGGTGCAGAGCAGAGGATTGCAAAAGAGCAATAGGAACCTGCTGGAAACAGTGTCTTCAGTGTCTGTC